GGCCAGACCGATAGTACAGTGGGTAGCGTGTTTGCCTTGCACACAGCTGACCCGGGTTTGATCCTTGAAATCCAGTATGGTCCCCAAGCATTGCCAGGATTAGTTCCTGAGTACAGGGCCAGAAGTAACACCTGATCATCACTGGGTGTGACCCAAAAAAACAAAATATATTTTAACATACTAATAAAAAAGCCAAGAGTTGAACCTTCTGTTATTACTAGACACACTCTTTATAGAAATAATAAGAGTTCCATATAATCTGAGTAATATAAAAAAAAAGTTTCTTTTACTCATATTAGGTAAAGGCCCTCCCGTTGATCGTCGATTTGCTCGAGCGGGCCCAGTAACGTCTCCATTGGAGACTTTGTTGTTACTGTGTCTGGCATATCGAATACTCTCAGTAGCTTGCCGGGCTCTCCGAGAGGGGCGGAGGAATCGAACTCGGGTCGGCCATGTTGGCCATTTGTAAGGCGAACGCCCTACCCGCTGTGCTTACTCATATTGATTCATATTGTTATATTTGTTCCTGATTTTAAGGCCCTTAGCTGGTAATGTTGAGGTTTTGGGCCACACCAGTGATGCTTGGTGGTTCTGCTGATTCTGCACTCAGAAAATACTCCTGAAGGTGCATGGGGAGCCCTATGGGATACTGGGGATCAAATCTGGGTTGGCCACATGCAAGGCAAGTGCCTTACCTGCTGTTGTCTTTTTTTTTTTTCCTGCTTTTCGGTTCACACTCAGCGATGCTTAGGGGTTACTCCTGGCTCTGAACTCAGGAATTACTCCTGGCAGTGCTTGGGAGACCATATGGGATGCTGGGGATTGAACCCTGGTTGGCCACATGCAAGGCAAACGCCCTACCCACTGTACTATCTTTCCAGCACCGTACCTGCTGTATTATCTCTACAATCCCTATTTTAAATCAGTTTAAAATAATTTATAATTTTTAAAAGCTTTAACCTGGGGTTAAAGTGATAGCACAGCAGGGTAGGGCGTTTGCCTTGGACACAGCTGACCCGGGTTCGATTCCCAGTATCCCATATGATCCCCCGAGCACCGCCAGGAGTAATTCCTGAGTGCAGAGCCAGGAGTAACCCCTGTTCATTGCCGGGTGTAACTCAAAAAGCACCCCCACCAAAAAAAAAAAGCTTTAACCTGGAGGCTGGACCGTTAGTACATGGGTCCTGAGCAACAAAATACGGTTCCCAGCACCTCCAAGAGTAACCCCTGAGTACCATCAGCCATAGCTCCATATCCTCTCTCAAAAAAAATTCTTTACCCATATCACAAATTTGCCTTTCATTTCATATTTATGTTTTATTTGTTCAGAATAATTAGGTTTTTTGTTTGTTTGTTTTTTTAGTATGTGCAATCTGATTGGGAAAATCTGTTTCTTGAAACATCTAGGAACTAGTCTTGTGATAGGTTAATTGGTCTTCTGAGCATTGGTTTTATTATATTCTTGAATTTGTTCTTGGACTACTTTTGCTGTGGGAGTGAGGAGTTGGGCCATGCTCAGCTAGTGCTCAAGTCTTACTTCTGACTCCGTGCTGGAGCCCTGTGCAAGGCAAGTATCTTAAGACCAGTACTCTCTCTCTCTCTGGCCCCATGGACTACGTTTTTATGCCAAGTTATTTGGACTATGTTCCATCACATTTTTGAACTTTAAACTTTATTTTTCTGCTTACAGAGCAAAGCACTCTTAAACCCAATGTGCCATTTATACACTTCAGAAAGTCTTGGGGTGGAAGTAAATTGTAGAAATACTTAATTTTTTTTATAATATGGTAGAAACTGAGATTGAAACAACTTTTTCATTATAACTTAAGTAGTTAAATTGTGCTATAGAAATATCCTTAGTGAACTTAGAGCATGATTTTAACGTTTATTTTATTCTCTAGCAGGTCCCTGGGCATATGTGTAGTATGGGGATTAAAACTACCACATCTTGAGCAGACTTTGGTGTCAAATATTTCTATCTAATTTGCCGTCCACTCCATGAGATAAGCACAAATATCTCCAGTTCATAGATCGAGAAAATGAGTCTTAGCCCTGGGATCACAGCCCTCTCTTTAAAAGTGTCAAAAATTACATGAGCCATTATCTTAGGAATTAGGCAGTATTAATTGAAATTGACATTTATTACCATGAACATAGTAGTCGTAAGAAGCTCTTTTTAGAGGTTCTTCTCTTACCATCAAACTTGCCTTATGGGTAGTCGGAAATTAATTTGTTTGGAAGTGTGATGGCACACCTGGCAGTGCTTCGGGGCTTATACCCAGCCTCCCACATGCACGGCATGTGCTTCAGTGCTTGGAGCCCATCCCTGCCCTTTGATAATTTTTTTTTAAAAATTAAAACTCAGAGGAAATTCAGTTTTAATAAATAATGTTTGTTAATTATATAATCTGATTTCTTACTGAATTTTTAGGAGTTTTTCCTTGTATTGGATAGTGGTCTTCAGTTAGGGTATTTTTGGAATCTTCATTTGTTATTTATTGCTCCACCTGTGAGGTTAGTAAACTAAGGCACTAGACAAATCTGCCCTGCCATCCATTTTGGTAAACACACACACACACACTCACACACACACCCTTCCTTGTTTATGGATGTCCAGAAAGTCAAAAATATTTATTTTCTGACCCTAAATTAGAAAAAAAATGCCCACATTGCTCTACTTCAACAAAAAATTTATAGCGATCAAATAGAATAGTTCTAAAGATATATGGGACTTTCTTTTTTTACATTTCTATGCAATTTATGAAAGATGGGGAAGTAAAAAATTGAGGTGATTAGGTTAATTCTGTTTCCTAAGGTACTTTCCATTAATTTGAGGATTTGTTCATCTTTGTACCTAAGGTTTGATACATAACATTGCCCAAATGATTAGATGTATTGTGGGATTTTTTTTTTCTTCCTTGAAATAAATTATTTTCTCTCCCATTAAAAAGTAACTGGGAGAATACGAGGAAGATTCTCTTAATATACACAGAAACAGAACTTGTTCTTACTGAGTTTTTGTTTACCTTCTTTGCCCAGAAGGATCCAGCGCTCATCAAGTTTCCAATTAGATGGTTATTTGATCCTCTTTAAAGTAAAGTCTGTCCATTCCCTCTGTTGAAACAAGTAAGTGCAGGTCCCCCTGATGCACTCAAATTTCACAAGCCTTGGGATCCTGAGTTTACTCTCTACTGTACATTCTATAATTGATACCAAGAGCCTTTTCCCATATCGCATGCATGAACATAATGAAGGTGTTAGAGTAACTTTTCTAGCAAGAGTGGCACGGTGCCCTGAGATTAATTATACACTCATAAGCTTTTTGCTCTAATACAGCTTCCAAAAGAGATTTTGTTTGGGAATTTCATTAATTTTTTTTTTCCTTTGTCTTTCCTGGTTCCTCACAATACTAAACAACAGCTCTCAAGCATTAACTTGTTTTTGTTAGTTGGCAGGAAGTAACCACCATGATGTAGCTTTTTTTTTTTTAACATTGATTGTCTTTATTTGGACATTTAATCTTCCAGCAAGCCTTAACTTATTAACAGTTTATAATCTTTGTCATTGTTTTAGTAGTAAATTGAGATAAATTTTAAAAAATTTACACATCTGAAATGCAGTTAGGAAAAAAGGGAATAGCTGCTGTTATTGGTTATACATACAGAATAAATCTAGTAGGCCCCAAAGTATAAGTTCACCTAGTTTTAATTAATGAAAATATGCCAAAGTGTCAATGTTGTTGGTGAAAATATTATAGCAAATATACAGGCTTTGCTTGAGAAAAGGCAGTGAGCATTCTGCTTTAAAATTTGCATAGCATGCCATGAAGTGGTAGAGAGATGAAATTTCTATAAACTAACACATCATCAGAATGATAAAGTAGCTCTTGAATTTCTTGGTAAAAATCAAGATATTCTTTCATATTTGTTTTTAACAACAGAGCTATTTGACTTTCAAAAATTCATGTTTTTTTTTTTTCAGTTCTCTCCCCCAAAAAGTTTTGTTCAGCTATAGCAGCATAGTACTTTTCACAAGCATCCAATTCTGTTACTCCCAAAACTAAAGTGAGTGGTGAGAAAGCTATGAATATTAACTTGGCATTTTGTTTTTGCTTTGAGATTATTGAGACTTTACGATGACTTTTCCTTGGCTGGGGATGTGGCTTAGTGGGAGAGTAACTGCTTTGCGTGTATGAAGACCTGAATTTGATCCCCTCTACTACCAAAAAATGTTCTGCTTTCCCACTGCAGCCGGGTTATTTTTTCTTCAGTGATGAATTTCATAACAATGTTTGTGAAGTGCCAGCTATGGTGCTGGCATGTAACTACATTTGCCACCTACTGTTTTTACCACGATTGTATAAATTTTTGAGGGGGGTTGGGTCACACCTGATGGTACTCTGGGCTTTGTGCTCAGGAGTCACTTCTGGTCGTGCTCAGGGGACCGTATGTGGTACCAGCAGTAGAATTTGGGTAAATTGCATGCAAGGCAAGTACCTTACCTGCCATACTGTCTCCACTGGCCCATCCATCATAATTATGGAAAGCATTGTTTTTAATCTTTGATGTCTGTAGTAGGAGACTACTGATTTAAACTGAGTAAGGTAAACCAGTAGGCTGTTTCTGGTTTTGCTTTTTTATAGCAGCAGCACTTAGTGGTACCAGCCTGATGGGTTCAGCTTAGCAGTGCTCTGGCACCATGTTATGCTGGGGTACAACTCAGGGCCTCACACATGCCTGACATATGCGTTACCAACTTGAACTATTTCCCTGACTCCCAGATCTATATTTGTCCGTCTTTTCACCCCTGTGGGCTGGCATCATTTCTTAGACAGGAGATTGAGAACTACCGATTTAGAGTAATTCTTAAGAATAGTTGGTGTCTCCCTGCTACACTAATAGACTCTGGGTGTATGTGTTTAATAATAAAGCTTTGGTGTTATTAAAATTAGAAAAATGAAAATAAAGCTTTGATGGGGGTGTGTGTGTGTTTTGATGCAGACAGCTTTACTAAACCGCCTGGAACGAATTTTCGAAGCATGTTTTCCTTCGGTATTTGTTCCTGAAAATGAAGAGGAAGTTACTTCCCTAAAGCACTTGTTGGAAACAAGCACCTTGCCAATAAAAACAAGAGAGGCCTTAGCTGAAAGTGGGTAAGTATTAGACAGTTTTAAGAAAGTATGTATTTTTTTTTTAGTTTCAACTGTTCTAATTTATAAAAATCATCTTAGAATATTAAGATCCTAAGACAAAACTGATACCATTTTAAAGCTATTTTCTTTGAGAAAGGAGTCTCCCAAACAATGCTACCTATCCCCTACCCTTCCCCCTCAGTACCGCCACCCCCCAGCCCCTTCCCCCATGACTCCTGGATGTTAATTTGGTCAGTGGTTCATTGCTAGGACTCAGAGATGTGGTGCTGCTCTTTCGCTCTCAGGGCCACCCAGCAGTGCACAGGGGCCTCCAGAGCCTGGCAGTGAGGCCATGTGGTACCAGGGATCAGCCCAGACCAGGTGCATGCCTAACCTGTGCCTAGCCTAACTGTCTCTTGTCCTCCTAAGCTATTCTTTTGATATTTCTAAATCAGTATTCTAGTCAGTCAGTTTTATATACTATCATTTGACTTCTAAGTATTGTAGGTGAGTGTATCTTACATCTCCATTCTCCCTTCATCTTCTTTCATGGTGGTTCTTGGTTTAATTTTTGTCATTTTTATTATTATAATCATGTAAATAGTGTTCACTGCTAAACCACTCTTCCCTTTTGGGTACACCTTTTCTCCAGACTAATTGTCTCCTTTTTACTTAATTTTTTCTAACACTCTAATAGCATGTTAGTACTGCTTTATTTTTGTGACCCACCTCGCCTGCCTGACTGGCTCTTCCTCATATTGCCTTCCATCTTCTCCATCTTCTAATCCAGTCTGGAGTAGATTCACTCCTGGGACTTCCCTGCAGTTAGACCCATTTTGGTAGAGCACATTTTCTAATGGTTTCTTAGACAAAAATGGTACATAGCAGGTCGAATTTTATTTTTATTTTACCCCACATTATAATTTAAGATTTTTGTTGCTAATGTTATGGGATTCCAATGAATAAAGTATCTTAGTGGATAATACTTTTTTGTTCATTGGACTGAGCACGACCTTTTTATTTGTAGTCTTCCGTTCTTTTTCTATTTATTTGGAGGCTTCCATTCTTAAACACTGGGCATTTTTGGTAATTACCTTCCCTGCTTTATCCATTTTCTCTTCCTGCAACCCCTACGAATCATTGAATGTTAGAGAAGTTCTCCAGATATTTTTTCCTAATTTTAAATTCAGAGATTTTCTTCTTCTAGAACTTTCTTAAATTTCCCTGTTCTCTATCTCCACAGGAATTCTTTTTCTTCGGAAGATCTTTTCCTACTCTGTTCTGTTCGGTCCTGTCCTTTATCCTTCCTTATAACCTCAGTGTTTCTGATACAGGATTTTAAGTATTTATTGAAGACGTAAATTAGTTTTTCTTCCTAATTTTTGTCTTGGGGTAATTTCTAAGAAGGAAGGAAAAACAAAAGGTTTATATTTTTACCATCTTAAAACTCTCTCTCTTTTTTTAAATATAGTGCTTGAGCCCGAGAGGTATACAGAGTTTAAGGTGCTTGCCTTGCATACAGCCAGCCCAGTTTGATTTGTGGTACAGCTAGGTGTGTCTCCCTCCCTTCCCCCTCCCCCCCAAGACAAATACAGTGAATGTGGGGCAAGAGACACAGGACAGGTGTTAAGGCATTTGTTTGAATCATTGCAAATTATTAACTACAAATTTTAATTATCCTCCCACTGACTCTTTTGAATCCCTGGCACCACATATTGTCCTCAAGCACCATTAGGGGTCACTCACCGTTTGTGTGGCTCAGAAATCCAAAAACGCAAAAAAAATACAGTGATTTTATAAGAAGAAATTCATTGCTTTACTGACAGTAGGCACCAAATAGTATAAACAGCTTATTTAAGCTGTAGGATTGTGCCTAATTAAGTAATTTGATAAAATACATCACTTGAAAAGGTCATATATGTTGATGAGGAAGTGTTTAAAATATGAAAAATGGCACAAAATTAGTATGAATATCCACATGTATATTCTGCCATTGTTCAGATCAAGACTCAAGGAGTAAACAAGAATATTGATAAGTTGTCTTGAGATAGTAGGACACTGAGTGATTTCTTTTTAAAAATGTTTTTATATTACAATTAAAAGAATAATATGTAGGCAAAATTTATGCTTGATTACTAGAATATTGTTTCAAATTAGTTTGACTTTCAGATTTGTTTCAAATTATCTGTGTTGACTATTGACTTCATTCAGTGTTATATTCTTCTATAAAATTAACTGGAATATGCATTATTTCAATATTTAAACTTAAAGTAGGTTTTTATGGTGAAAGCTCTTGAGTAACCCATTGTTGGTGAATTTATCCTGGCCATTGCAGGGAACTGCTGAATGTGTGGACCGAGCTGCAGGATATCCACGATGCACATGGCTTAAGATATCAGTGGGGCGGCTCCCATAGCAACAAGAAGCTTTTGTGCTCCTTAGGAATAGACACCCGAAATATTGTGAGTTAGCAGTACCTTGGAAAATTCTTTAATCAATATCTGGATGTTTTAAAATTCTATTACTCTTCTCTTAAAGCTGTGATAAGCTAGTCTCTCAGATAAATATTAGTTTGTTTTAATGTTTGTGTTTTGAATATAAAACGTTTCAACACAAATATAAATTTTTCTCTGATTTTTATTTTTAGAAAGAGTTGTTTCGGTGTTTTGAACTGTTTTGTTTTAGTATTTGAAATAAGATGAACAATTGGACTAGGAGATAAAAGCTTAAACTTATTTGGGAAGTTTAACCATTTCTTCTACTTAATTGTTTGCCACACATGTCGTAAAGTATTACAAGATTTTGAAAATTATTTTATTGTGCAGCAGATCATTCTCTAAGCATCTGTTCTTTCTCTCTAACACGTGTATAGCTCTTCACGGGCAATAAGAAGCAGCCTGTTATAGTGCCCATGTATGCAGCAGGATTGGTAAGTACAGAAGTTTCCCTGAATTTATCATTGCTGAATTTTTTTCTGTAAACTGATTTTACACAGTATGACATGGAAAGTGGGTTTCTATTGTTGTTGTTGTTGTTTAATCTTTGAACCACACCCAGCTGTATTCAAGGAGTGCCACTCATGGCTCTGTGCTCAGAGCCACCCCTGACAGTGCTTGAGGGATTGTCTGTAGTGCTGGATAGTTTATCAAAGGCCAGCCACATGCAAGGCAAGTGCATTAACTTCTATATGGATTTGTTTGTTTGTTTTTTGGGTCATACCTGGCAGTCCTCAGAGTTACTCCTGGCTCTGCACTCAGGAATCACTCCTAGAGTGGTCAGGGGACTATATGGGATGCCAGGGATCGAACCCAGGTTGGCTGTGTGCAAAGCAAGCGCAGTACCCACTCTACTGTTGCTTGGCCTTAACTCTATTTTACCTCTGTGTATCTTAGGGATAGGGCAATAAATGTGGAAGCATTTAAAGAATAAGCGTAATACCCATTTTGCTGTCATAAATTCATTCATCCTTGATATGAGGATGTTTTTGCATAGTCAATTTTTGTATACACACTTGTTTTAGATTGAAAACTTCATTTACCTTAGTGATAATGCTCATATTCTTTGAAAAATGCATCTTTGGAGGGTGCTCTCTCTCTCTCTCTCTCTCTCTCTCTCTCTCTCTCTCTCTCTCTCTCTCTCCTCTCTCCCTCTCCTCTTCTTCTTCTTTTCCCTCCCCCTCTCCCTGCCTCCCTCCCTTCTTCCCTCATCCTCTTCTTTTCCCTCTCCCCTTTTTTTAAAAAATTTTTTCCCATGAATTTGTTTTTTAAAAGGAGGAAGCAGATGGATCTGAAGCTCATGATAACATTTGTTTTAACCAATTATGGTCAGTTTTAAGTAAGGCAATATTGAAGCTGTAAAAGCTTAGAAATACCAAACTATATTAAATGAAAATCAGCAAGGATCTTTAATTGATCCTTAGTTTTTGCATTAATGTTTTAAATGTGTTGAATTGGGGCTGGAGCAATATTACATCGGGTAGGGTCCTTGGCCTTACACACTTGGCCAACCCAGATTTGATCTCCATCATCCCAGCCTGCCAGGAGTGATCCCTGAATGCAGAGCCAGGAGTAAGCCCTGAGCACAGCTGAGTGTGGCACAAAATCAAAAAGTAAGTGTGTTGATTTTTTTGTTTTCCCAGATATGCCAGGTAATCTAGGATAACTGAAGAATTTTCACTGTGTACCTTACCAAGATTTAATCATATTTTTTGACATGTTTAACATGTTTGTGCTTTTTGGTGTGTCTTCAAGTTATTGGTGAATAAAATACCCAATTAAAATTTTTTTTCAATCTGTCATCAGTAGCTTGAAAATGAGGGGGATAATTGTACTTTTTTAAAAAGACAAAAAAGGAAAACATTGACATGGAATTTAGTTTATAAAACCCTTCACGTGCATGTCAAAATGAATTTGCTATGAAACTTGATCTTTTTTTTTTTAATCTCCAACTATCCGTGATTAAGCACTAATTACTGATACCAGGATTTTTTTTCTTTGTAGTTTTGTGTAATTGGATGAAAACATTTCTGTGCCTTTTAATCCAGTTTCTACTCCTTTATAAATATTTTTATATTTATTGAAAAATCATCCTTACACTTATTTCTGTTATAGGTAAAAATCCAGAATGCGGGGCTGGAGTGATAGCACAGCGGGTAGGGTGTTTGCCTTGCACGTGGCCGACCCAGGTTCAATTCCCAGCATCCCATATGGTCCCCTGAGCACCGCCAGGAGTAATTCCTGAGTGCAGAGCCAGGAGTAACCCCTATGCATCGCCGGGTGTGACCCAAAAAGCAAAAAAAAATAAAAATAAAAAATAATAATCCAGAATGTTTTGGGAGAAGTGATCAGGGGATTAGTCCTGGTTTTCCACCAAGGAGTCACTCCTGGTGGTATCTTGGATACCGGGGATCAAATCTGGCTTGGTCACATGCAAAGCAGACACTTCACCTTCTCTCTTTGACCCCTTTTTTTATTACTTTTTTTTTTAATTTGGATTTATCTTTTCAAGTAGTATATTCTAGAAGCTGTCGGTAGTGTTATCAGCATCTAATGTAGGAAGTTTCAGTCACAAGGTTGAGAGCAGTAGCTCTCTTAGTGCTTGCTTATGCGTTTGCTGGCACGTAGCCAGTTCTTTTTTAAATATTGTAAAGTGTCAGACTTTTTTTTTTAACCTTAATAACAATTGTTACTTGTGATAATCTTAGTATCTTTAAGCTTTTGAAGCCAATGTTAATTTGGTAAATATTTCTTCTCTATCTTTGTGATACCTTATCCTTAGAAACAGACTTTTCACATCTGATTTCAATTTTTAATTAAGCCTGAATTTTTCATATTGATACTCTATATGAGAGATAGGTAATACCTCTGAATACTGTCTAAAGGGATAAATAGTACCTGATATTTAAGTCACTGACTCTTACACTTTCTTATGCTTCAGAAATACATGTCAAATCACCTAAAATGTAGAATGCTGGGCACTATCCCTTGAGTTATTTAATTGGACTGGGTTGGCACTTCAGAATTTGCACATCTCAAATTTCCAGGTGATGCGGAAGCATCTGATTGGGGATCACACTTTGAGAATCTCTGGTTTAAGTGCTAGTTCATGTGGCCACAGTTCAGTCCCCAGCTCCATCTGTGGTGACCTGAGCACTGCCAGGAGTCACTTCTGAGCACAGAACCAGGAATAGCTGTAAACACTGCTGGGTGTGGCCCAAAAACGGGGAAAAAAAAAGTAGACTTAGATTAATAATTGCCAAATGCATATATAGAGAACCAATTATAATATATGAGTTAGAGAACCAGTTATAATATATGAGTTAGACCATGAATTTTGTCTGATTAATAATTAAGATCTTATCAAGTATAACTTGAAAATGCGTAAAAGCTTCACATTTTTTAAACCATTAACTGGATTATTACCTAGGTTTGGGGGTAATATTATTACCCAGTAAATCTTAGTAGTGTTTTTTAGTGTGTTGATGCAAAAAGCTTTTCTTCTTTGTTTTTATACCATTCTGATTTTTCTTTTTTAGTCAGTGTATTTGTAAGATTTGTAACATACCTAGTGGAACGTTTGTTTTCTTTTCTGAAATGACTGTTTCCTCTTTGCCCGTTCAGGGAAGGAAATAGAATGAAAACTAAATTCACAGAAAAATATGTAGTTATCATCACATCGTAATGTTTAGAATCATCTCTTCCCTGAGCATTTTTCTGGTGTAATCTGTTTGAAGAATGCCCTTTCCTGAATTTGCAGTAGTGAAGCATCATAAAAGTGTTGGCTTCTTAGGACTAGATAAAAAAATATGCTGTTTTGCTTGCCTCTTCCTCTGCCCCTCCTATTCTCCGCTTCCCAAAATTGTGCATATGCTTTTAAATGACAATAATAGACAAACAAATTGATCAAAAATACAAATTTTAAAAACTGAAGATGTAGCTCAGTGTCAGAGTGCTTGCCTCTTAGTATAAGGCCTGTAGTTTGAGCAGCATCCCAAAACAAGTAATAAAATACAAAGTTTTGTTTCTGTTTGTTTGTTTTTTGTCTGGAGACCATCCCCAGCAGAGCTCAGGGCTTATTCCTGGCTTTGTCCTCAGAGATTTCTCCTGGCAGTGCTTGGGGGACCATATGGAATGCCAGGATTCAGACCCAGGTCAGCCACATGCAAGGCACCCTACCCACTGTACTGTTTCTTCAGTTGCAAAGTCTTGTTTCAGAAAGTTTTGGATCCAAAGTTGTTATGTGAAACATTTTCCATTATACTGTATAAAATTTTTTTCTAAATAAATTTAGACTATTCCCTTTTGGGGATGGAAAGATAGTACAGCGGGTGAGGAGCTTGCATTGCACACAGCTGACCCATTTTCAAACCCCAGAACCCCATATAGTCCCCAGTTCCTCCAAGATTATCTGAGCCCGCCAAGAGTGGTTCCTGAGTGTAGAGCCAGGAGTAACCCCTGAATATTGGCAGGTCTGACCCAAGCACTTTAAAAAAATATATATATATATACATATATATATATTCCCTTTTGTCTTTACTACATTCCAAATAATAATATTTTTTTTCTTTCTGCTCTCTTTGGATTCACTTTCCTATAAAATTTATGGGTTTATCTCCCCAAACTTAACATAACAGCTATGGTGCATTTGTTTTTCAGGGTATGTTAGAACCTACCAAGGAACCATTGAAACCACTATCTGCTGCAGAAAAAATTGCTTCCATTGGTCAGGCAGCCACCATGTCATCAGAAATGAACACATGTTCTTCGGACCAATTCCAGGTAAAAATATCCAAGGATTTATGCATGAGCTTACACATTTTTATGCATGCTTTTGTTTTCCTTAATACATAACTTTTAGCATTTGTAATCTTTTAAAACTTGATTTCATGATGCACATGATGTGGGTGTACTTTTTGATATCTCTAAGAATATAGTTAACAAATTGTCTCTGTTATGGGAAACACTGTATTTATATAGAATGAAGCTTGAAGTCTGCTGTTAGATCTTTCTGGAAGCCTATAAAATATTTTACAAAATAATAAAATTTGGGTGTTTTTATTCATCCAAAACTGTTTGAAAGTTTAAGACTTATATTTGACTTGAAAATGAGATGCCCTTTATAAAAGATTCTGTGGATAAGAAAAAAGACTTTTAGTTTAGGTGTTTTTATTCATCCAAAACTGTTTGAAACTTTGACTGACATTTGACTTGAAAATGAGTTGGCCTTTAAGAAAACATTATTTAAAAACGAAAGCTTTTTTACCTTTTATAAATTTTTTAAAATTTTTTATGTCAAATCAAAATAGCTCCAGCAGTGCTCAGGGACTACTCCCTCTCATGTTATTTGGGGAACCATGCAGTGCCAGGGATCAAACCCAGGGCTCCCACATGCAAAGCTTCTGCTCCAGGCCGTTGTTCTATCTCCCCAACCCCTCTCTTACGATTCTTACTCTTTGTCTCCTTGTTTAAGCACTAATTTTTATTTCAGTCTAATATGTTTCATATGAAAGCTTCCCTTTTACTGTTTATCTGGAAGTAAATAACTATTTGGTTAGCTTACCCTTCCCACATCAAATTTAAAACTGAGTGGTTATGTCCTTAGAAGATTACTTTTTTTTTTTGTGACCATTACCATTCTAAAATCTATTTTAGTTGTGTTTGTCATTTCTTAACTTTAAACATGTTAAATGATAGCTAACACTAAAATTTATATTTGGCCAACCATTCCCAAAGTGTGTCCACACTAATCCCTAGAGATGCTACATACAAAAGAAGGTTCAGGGTGGCAAAAGTGGTAAATACTTCATAAGATTCCCCATAACTATCTTAGAGATCTATAGCACACACATTGAGGGACTCTGAAAAACTCTACAGTGAATAACCCTATTAATTTGGATTTGGAGTTATCTCGTCCATAGGACACTTTTATGTAGGAACCAGCAGGGAAGAATCATAATACCTGTAGAACTAGCATTTCAAAGAACATACTTTTTTATTTTTAAATTTTTTTTAAAAGAAGCAAAATAGTTTTTATTTAAAGAAATTTACTTAGGAGAACTGTGAGAGGACAGAAAGAGAAGAATATGTTTTCAAGAGAGAACACAGGCTTGGAGAAAATGTTTCAAAGAACGTACTTTAGAAATTGTGCTGTTAAAGGGAAGAGTCTAGCCACTTGGAAACGTTTCAAGAAATAGCTAATGTTATTGCCTATACCACTTTGGTTTATATTTGAGCATATGTCTGGAGCCAGTATGTTGCTGACATTGAATTTGTGGACTGGGGGACCTAATATGTATATCTGGCTTTGTTGATGGTTGGGCTACTGCAGCTTAAGGTGACTTGGACAGAAGGGCTCAAGAAGTAGAATATGCCCTTGGTTATCGTATGTAGCTTGTCCTCTAGCTGTCAGCTGCTCTCTCATGCCTCCTTATCTCTGCAAATTGCACTTTCCCCTTCCAGCGCAGTTAACATTCTTATTCCTGCAGTGCTAAATATTGGGAAAGCAATTTGAGCAATTAGTTGGTACCTTTACTGAAAATAGTGCTGATCTTATATGAGACTACTTGTTGCTAATTTTGATTGTGCCTTTGCTCTTTCTCCACTCTCCAACCGCTTCCATATGTCACACATGCATGTTTTCATCAGTTAACTATCACCTGTCATTTACTCGTAGATCATCTTAGGTTTTTCCTTCTAGTCACAACTCATACTTGATCTTTTTTTATATAATTTAGTTTTAGTCTAAAATCATTTAATGAAAGTGAAAAGCGGTGTGTACTTCCTTGTGAAGTTTAAGTTGTACCTCCACGATGGGTGTTCAGCTCTGCCTTTTCTGTAAACACACAGAATTGTTATTTCCCTAATTGTCAAGTACAGAAGTTTTCAGCAACATATAAGCATATTTTACTATTTTGCTGGTAGATGAAGCTTGTGTTCTTGCCACTTAAATCAAAGGAGTTCTCTTTAATCAAACACAACCTTTAATTATGTGGGTTTTTTTTTTTAATACATAAATTGTTTTTAAAAATTTAACTTGTTCTTGGTAGTTTGTGAACCTTGATAACTTTAGTTTTAGATCCTTGAAGGAACCACAGAAATTGTTTCTTAGTGGAAGTTATTCAAACTTACATTTTGAATTTACGTGAACCTGTGTTGCACTTCGAACATACATGTTCAAGCTCAAAATTTCTTTATATATCTCAGTTTTATATTAAAAACACTTTTCATCAGTTCAGACATCTAAAATGCTTTGTAAAGGTTTCCTTTATCTAAGGTGATATTTCTTACCACTGTTCTTTGGCCTGCAACATAAAATAACTTTACATATGCTAAATCTTACTTTTTGTTTTTTATATGCTAGCGATTTTCGAACTTAGCATAGTTGTATGATTCCCATTATCATTGAATCATATCTAGTCCATCTTAAGTTTGGTATCCATCCGTATGTTTTTTCTTTCAAATTAGCTTGTATTCATTAATATTACCATCATTATTATTACCATCATCGCATCTCTTATTTAGAGGAGGAGACTGTCACTGTCACTGTCCTCCGGTTGTTCATCCATTTGCTTGAGCGTGCCCAGTAACGTCTCCATCTTGAGACTTGTTGTTACTGTGTTTGGCATATTGAATACGTCACGGGTAGCTTGCCAGGCTTTGCCGTGCAGGCGAGATACTCTCGGTAGCTTGCTGGGCTCTCCGAGAGGGGCGGAGGAATCGAACCCGGGCTGGCAGCACGCAAGACAAACGCCCTACTGCTGTGCTTTTGTTCTAGCCTGGAGCTCTTATTTAGGAATTTAATAATTTACTAACAAATGTTAATGGTGTTTTCACTTTTTTTAACCTGAGTATGAGTGAAAAGCAGAAGTGACTATTTATATTGTTCTAACTTCCTGTACTAAATTTCAGTCATGTCATTTATGATGTCATTACAGATTTTCCTCTTAACCATTATGTTTTGTTTTGTTTTGGGGCCACAGCCAGAAGTGCTCAGGGCTTACTCCTGGCTCTTCCCTCAGGGGTCACTCCTGGCACACTCAGGGATCCATATAGAACCTAGGTGGGTCACATAGAAGGAAAAGTGTCCTAACCACTGTATTATTATTCCAACCTAGTAGTATCAGTATCTTAACTTTATCTACTACTGAGTGTCTCTGGTTAGCAGTGACCCATTGTGTTGTTACTAGCAAACCTACTCTCTCAGGTGATTTGACATGACTATTTTAGTTGTAAATCAGAATTTCAGAGTTAGAAGAAAGAAAAGTCAGCTAACATTATATTCTCTTTATAAGAAAACATTTGGAAATACTACATAATGCACCCAAAATTATATACCAGTGATACAAATAGTACTAGAACCCTCAAAAAGTATTTCTATTCTGACCTTATTCATGCTTTTGCGACTACAGTATTCAGACCATATTGTTTCAAGTTGCTTTAAAATGCCTTAAGTGTTTTCTCTTTGAGTTGCCTTGTCAATGTCATTAGCCTACATTGCTTAAGTATTTTTCTTTTCATCTGTCTCACTTTCATTAAACTCATGCTTCAGGCACCTTGTTCTTGTAATACAGACTGTGTCTTCAAAATGTCGTGTACCTGTATAAAAATTAAAGTTTTGGAATATGACAAATATTTTTAAATATCCAACTACCTGATCTCTTTTTCTTTTCTTTCCTTTTTTTTTTTGCCCCTCTTTGGGTCATACCCGGCGATGCACAGGAATTACTCCTGGCTCTGAACTCAGGAATTACTCCTGGCGGTGCCCAGGGGACCATATGGTATGCTGGGAATCAAACCCAGGTCAGCCTCATGCAAGGCAAACGCCCTACTGAATGTGCTATTGCTCCAGCCCCAGCAGGCTATCTGATTGTTAGATAAAACATATTAATGAAAGAGCTTTTCTCCGTATATTTGAATATTTTGTCTTTCATAATCCTGAGTGTTGTCTATTCAGTCTATGTTGAATGTGACTAAAGATATTGCCAGTTTGAAATTAGAATAATGTAGATTGAATCTGTTGAAATGCCTAAAGCTTTTTGTTTTTTACATAAGCTGAAGAGCTTCGCTAAATACTATTATCAGCCTTGCTACTAGGTTGTAGAATTTTATCAGCATTATTTTTTTAGTTTGAAATAATTACAGATTCTCAGGAAGTCACAAAGATGGTACAGAAGAGGTGCTTTGTATACTTTACCAGTGCCTCTCATGATTTTACCTTTTATTCCCACCTTTTACATAGTTCTGTACAGGAATATGACATTTGTGTAGTATATATCTGTCATTTTATCAAGTGTAGATCAGTATAACTACCATCACAGTCAAGGTACAAAATTCTTCCATTACCGTAATTTCCTTAATTCCTGGGGACCCAGCACCACCTACCATGCTAAGCAGGTATCCCCAGGAATGGTCTTGGAGCATTACTAAGGAGCTGTTCTTTCCCCCTCCCCACAAATAAAGTGACCTATTGATTGTTTGGAAATAGGTTGTTTCCATAAGTGTTGTCAACATGAACTCAAAAACAAAAAACCCAGTGTTTTTCTTACCTAAAATAATTTTAGATAAAACATTACTCATCTTTCAATGTCAAGAGGACTAGGGATATGATTCATGTCTCAAATGTGTGAGACCCTAACCTCCCTGGTCATCTAGTGGTTAGGATTCGGCGCTCTCAAATGTGGGAGACCCTGAATTTTATTCTTTGCACTGCAAAAAAAAAAAAAAAAAGCAGCAAATTAAATGCTTCATACTACCTTCCATCGTCATGTACTGTTTGCTCATTTTATTATTGCTGATTGACAGAAGTTTAAAAATCTAGGATATTCAAATGAGTTTTCAGTATGCATTTTGTTATATTTTTAAAACTAATTCTGCTACTGATGAAAAGCAATTTCTAAATTAATGAATTTGACCAGAAGGGCCAGAGTTATAGTACCACAGGTAACGTGCTTGCCTTGCACGCAGCCAACCCAGGTTTGATCTCCAGCACCCTATATGGTTCCCCACACCCAGTAGGAGTGATTCCTGATTGCAGAGCCAGGAGTAACCAGGGAACTTTACCAAGTAGTACCCAAAAAGGAAAAATAATTTAAAAATTATAAAGAGAACTTTGGACAATTCTCATTTTTAGTAAAATGAGTTCAACTAATCTTTTTTTTCCCAACTAAACCAATTTTACAAAGTCATAAAATTAGTTAACTTAATAGTTAATCTTAAATAAATAGCCCACATATTTCACTTCTTAGTGTTACGCGTTCAGTTGCTATTTTATTAAGAAATTTTAAGTGGTTTAAAATAGATTAGATTAAACCACTGTTTTATGAAGAAAACTCTAGCTTTTTTTAATGTATTAATCTAAATTATAGTTTTGAGAACAAATAAAAATCTGGACATATGGTCAAGTCTGTATTCTTATATAGACAATATATTTCTATAAGTCTATATGTTTCTTTTGGATGTTGTAAAGATAATTTCATTTTGCAGATACAGGTTTTTCAAGCTAGCATGCTAGACTTTTAGTTTATGTTAATATTTGCAGGTATCTTTTCTTTTGGATATTGTAAAGATAATTTCATTTTGCAGATACAGGTTTTTCAAGCTAGCATGCTAGAATTTTAGTTTATGTTAACATTTGCCGGTATCTTTCTGAAAATTTAAGTTATCCCAATTTTTTCCATAGGTACTTTAGGTGTTTTATTGCCTAATGATCTTGCTATAATAGTTTTTTTTGGAAGGGGGGATTGTTTTTAAGAATTTTTGATATTGCTGCAAACGATGCCAATTAATTTGTGATTTTTTGGTTTTCAACTCTAGGAGTCTCTACCACCCGTCCAGTTTGACTGGAGTAGCAGTGGCCTTACTAACCCTTTAGATGGTACGTCTCTCCGTAGAGCCTCTAGCACCAGAGCTAGAGTTAAGAAAGCTACAAAGTTCAGACAAACTTCTCTCTGCTGATTTCCTTTTTGTTTGAACATAACTTCTTATTCTTATCTTTGGAAATTCAGGCTTTCTTTCTAAATAGTAATTGCTCAAGAGACCAGCGTTACTACTATTAGCAGTATTAATGTTGAAATATAGGCAATAGTAGCCAGGTAAAATTTTAGTTTATCTTTAGTCAAAATAAGCTTCTTTATTTTTTATGAATTTCTAAGTAGCTTGAATTATATTTTAGGCAGGATCAATTTACTTGAATTTTTGTTCTGTAGTTTTAATTATGGACTTCCTTGGATGCAAAGTGTTATGGCTAGAGGCTGCTTTAAAACACAAAGCACAATTATTTAACCAAAAACAGTGTGCAAATACATCATATTTATCGACTCAAAGTAGTTTTCAGATTTAATAATATTTTATAAAGCACTTATATGCAAATGAAAATGAATAATTTTCATGATCCTTTTTCTAAAGCTTATTTCAAAATGCTAGTAGGTAGTTCCAGAAATAATTGCTTTCACTTATGGCTTTAAAAGAAAATCCTAACGAGGAATAACTTACTCCAGTAATATGGGGTCTTTAACATAAATAATACAAAGTGCTAGTTTTCCAGTAAGTTGACACCACAAGTTTTAATTGGCCCCTCAGATAACAAATACTCTTATTCCTTCTGATTCACCAGTTTGAGCCATTGTCTAAAGCATGTCATTCTATCAGCTTTGCGTTATAGTGGGAGTTCTAGAATATCTGGAAAGCATCCAATTGAATAACAGTGCTGAAGGAAAGCCTGGATGCACCTTTTGCTGTTGTCTGGTGTCTTATTCAGTCAAATCATTATGCTTTTTTTATTAACAAACAAGTTCTATAAAATGTATACTATTTCTGATTACTGTTTCAGAGTTAAAGGGGAACAGTACAGCTTGAGGTTGCACATCAGGGTAGGGCAGCTATGACATTCTTTATTATGTCACTTTAAGCTAATGTACTGGTGCATGTCCTGAAACTGACAAAGTTGTCACTTTTTAAAAGTCATCAATTAGAAACCAGCATCACTAATATTAAAGAATGATTTGGGCATGTACGGTGATTTCATATTGGGTTGAGATTAAAGTATTGTTTCCCTTTAACGGGTACACTTTCCCCTTGGTCTTTCTGGTATGGCTCAACTTTTAATTGAAAGAACTGAACCGCTACTAAAACCTTACAAAGTGTTAAGTTATTGACATTGTACATGAGAAAATGTACATTGAATTAAATTGTTATTTTAGAAATGTCCTTAGTAATGAACTACTAATACTGTACACATTGTTTTAATGTTGATTTTAAAATGTGTAATGACTACTAATTATAACCTGCATGTTCAAGTGTGTGTCTTACCCCTTTTTACACATAACCCCTCCTCCCTTGGCTTACCTTCTGTGTGGCTGCCTACCAACACGGTCACTGAATTTCAAGCTAGTGGAGGTTCCACTCTTCTGAACCTTGATTTCTTTGGGCCCGTGGATGACAGTAGCTCTAGCAGCAGCACCACAATCCCAGGTCAGCAGAGTGTTAAAACCACAATTCTAGTTGATTTACTAAAAGCATGACCACATCACTTGACTTTCCTATAAACAAGGAAACAAGTTAGATTGTATTCTCTATGATGTCTTCTAATACTTTACTTTCGTGTATCTATTGTTATTTTCTAGTATCTGACTATTACAAAAGACTTCATGTAAAATGTGTTTCAAGGAAAACTTTCACAAAGTGTAATATTCAGAGCTGAGCATAGTTTCTTGGAATAAACTATCCCTAATGTTCTTATACAATTAAAGGCAGGGTTTGTTTCTTTTTTTTTTTTCCTGAAGGTGGAAATTTTTATATGCTTATTTTTAAGGGCATATTCTGTAAAGCCATTTGAGAAAATACAAGTTTAGAGAAATGAGAATATTTTAGTACACAAAGATCACTTTACATTGTAATACCTGTGATAATAGAACCTTTATAAATTCTAGACTTCAATTAGTTCTTTATTAGTGTTGCTAAATGTATAGGTTCCAAAATACTTGAGTCTAGCTCTTAGTTATATAGTCCATATAGAACTATTACTGTTTTATATAGCTCTTAAATAGAAAGTATACTGTTTTCCATGGAGAAAAAAAAATGTTACAAAAGTTAATAATAGAAAATAATTGCTCTGCGATACTAAAAGCTAGAAATTAAAACTTACTGGAGTGCCTGTTAAATTGTTTAGCCCTGCGAAAGTTCAGTTCATTGACCAAAGGACTAATGTACTTTGTTATTTTCTAACTGAATAAAAAGATTAAAATATAATGGCATTTTTATGTTTATATTTTGTTTAATATGATTTTAATGCATTCCTGTCATCCCAACTTGTGACTTGGTAATCACACCCATGGATCACCAAACAGTTGTTGAGATGCTCTTGCTGCTGATTGCAGATTGCATAGCAAGTGTCCCTCTCTCCTCCCCGAGAGCCACTTACACAGCTGGCCTGGCTCTTTCTCTCCATAACCCTTTCTCCCACTTTCAGCAGCTCAGGGTGTGGGAAGTGGTGGGGAGACCACAAGAGTCAGCTAAGAGTGGGCTTGAAACCTAGAATGCCCTCCAAGATCTGGTTATGGGAGTGGGAGCCCACTCTCAGGAAGCTCCAGGTCCATTTCATAGAATGACTGGATTCCTCAAATCTGAGCCCTGCTAGCAGTTCAGTGTTTCCAAGGTTTCACAAACATACCAAAAAAGCCAATCTCTGTCAACTTTTGTCTTCAGAATATTTTGCCACTTTCTTAAATTATGTTTAAATACTTTTGAGCTTTGGAATGACCTGGGTGAGCTAATTAATTTGTGTTTCTTTTCCCAGAACTTAATGGTGGGGAGGGGGTTGGAGATGACCAAAAACTTATGTATCTGGGTATTTTTTTCCCGCTGTATTCCCACTAATGAATTACAAAGTTCCTATTTAATTTGCTCTCAGCTTTCTTTTTGTCATGAACTATATTATAGCTTAAATGAGGTCACTGTATTTGAATGCCTATAATATGGTTTAAATTAAAATTTTTTTGGTCGCATTTCAATCTCAGTTAAAAAAAACTATTCATAGGAGCACAAATTATCTGACCATATTAAGCAGTACAGAAATGACCTGATAACCAGACGCAGTATATACAACTTCTATGAGTGTAGCTGTTTTAGAAGCTTAGAAGTAATGAAAGTGAAAATTAGCATGCTTAAATGCCGTCCTCATTATTTGGAATCTTTTGAATATTTTTGTTCCGTATTTTTATTAATAATGCTTTACCTGCTATATAAACTTGATCACTATAAATTTGCTTTGGCTTCTTTTTATTGCTATTGGGTTTTGTTAAAACTTAACATCAAGCTACAAGTATCAACATCTTCCTTAGTATTTCATTTCAACACTTGCTTGCACTTTTTCTGACTTGTTTCTGGGAAAGTCATTTTGTCTTAGCTTGCGGTTATTTAATTATTTTGTGTGAGATCTGTGAGGTTGGCATAGAACTTGGTTGACTAGCTTTAGTTATGTAACTAAACTGTCTCATTAAGGTTCTGTTAAGACAAAAACTCTTCTACTTAAAAATATGTACATATATATATGATATGTTAGAATAAGTAGTAAGCTTGAAAAAATATTGCTTCTTAATTTATTATTGATTGGGCTTAAGGGGGGCGGAATTTTGTCTCCCCCGCCCTTTCTGTTTAACAACCAAGTAGCCAGTATTTTACGAATCCAACTGAGTTTTACTAATACTCTCCTGTTGCCAGTCAGAATGCAGTTGTTTATTATGCAGAGGCATCAATTAAAATATTGTGCTTACTTGGAATCTAAATCATTCACTGTGGAGAAAGGGAAGGTACTTCAGTTCATTGGTTCCTTTACAGGCATCTGCTTTTTTTTATACTTTAATCACAGCCTATATGCTACTATAGAAATACAAAGTAAAGGCCATTTAAAATATTTTTAAACTCTACCTTAATGAAAGATTAAGAACTTGGGAGAGTCAACAAACATTTTCTATAGCCTTCCTCCCTTATTCGACATGTTAACTGTGCAAGCTGCTTTTGTTAAATTTCTGTAAACATCTGAGATCTATGTTTGCATCTATTAGTTATCTACATTGTTGGTTAATCATTTTATCTGCTGATCTTCAGAGCTGTTTTAGAAATAATAAGTAAAAATTGATAAAACCACTCTTTGTTATCCTTAAATTACCCTTTTTAGCTCAAGTAATTTACTAGTACCAAAGAGAGTATTGAATTGTTTTTTTGATGATCTTTGTTTTCCAAAGTTTACCTAGAGTTTAAAATACTGCTGTTTTCCATTTTCTAGTCAATTATTTAATGTAAATCTGCATTTAGTGGGAATATAAAATAAGATTATATTTTAGTGAAGTCAAATGAAGGATTTTGGTCGATTTTTACAATAAATCTAACTTGGCTTTATTTTTAACTCTTCTAATGAGATATCTGAGCTGTTAACTCAGATTAGATCAGCTATGTACGAGACACTAGAAATGTAATCCTTGAGGCAAATTTTATTTTATCCGAAAATAGAGTTTTTTTATTCTTTTTTTTTTTTGTAGGGAGGGAGCTCCCAAGCAGTGCTCACAGGGCCTGGAGGCAGGCCCAGTGAGTGTGTTACTCTGGCCTAGTCCTGCTAGAGGCCCCCAGGGTGTTGCTATTGATAGGCTTGGAACCCCCTAGACCCAAGGATTTATCTCAGGAATTCTGCATGCCAGACCTGTGCTCCAGCCTTTGCACTATCTCCCCAATGCTGCTCTTAGACACCTTTTCTATTTTTCTGTTCCCATTCCTAAGAACAGTGTGGGGTATAATTTGATGCTTTAATATTTTCTGCCCTCAGGTGGTTGGAATATAAACAAAAACAAATTTTTTACCATAGTTGAAACTTGGTAGGATCTTCTAGATTATAATATGGCAGAAAAATTGTCAACAAGGTGGGTGGAAAGGGAGATTTAAAAAATGAGATTAACTTGTCAGTTTTGAAAATTGATACATGATCTTTTATAATGAATCATGTGCATTTTATTTTTAAAATAAAACTTTCATATTATAAAATAATCTAGTGGAGGGTATTTTTTTAATTAAAGATTTAAATTTCAGTAATATTTGGATGGTAAAATATGAAGGTTGGTTTTTATAAAAGTAAAATTAAGATCATATTTTATACCAGGGTGGAATTTGGGGTTTTCGCCCCTCTAATTTATAAGAATTCAGAAAAGTGGAATTTAAATTTGAAAAATAAATATGACCTAAAGATGTGTGTTGTGATTGTAAAAGACTCAGATGTTTACAGAATAAATTGCCTTTTGCATCTTGGATTATGGCTAATTGGGTAACCCATTGCAGCTTGCCATCACTGACTATCATTTTATACTATAAGGTGTGGATCCAGAGTTATATGAGTTAACAACTTCTAAGCTGGAAATCTCCACCTCAAGCCTCAAAGTGACTGATGCATTTGCGAGACTCATGTCCACAGTAGAGAAGACAAGCACATCTACCAGGTAAAGAGCTAGTGATCATTACACCTTAATTTTGAATTTGTGTTACACCAAACAGCCCAGGTCGGAAAACACATGTGAAACTCACTTTATATTTGTTGTAAAAAAAAAAAAAATTAAAGCAGTTGGACCTAATTCTAGAAAACAGATTTAAATTATGTTTAATTATGAACTTCATTGGGGCTGGAGCGATAGCACAGCGGGTAGGGCGTTTGCCTTGCACGCGGCTGACACGGCCGACCCGAGTTGGATTCATCCACCCCTCTCATAGAGCCTGGCCAAGCTACCAAGAGTATCTCGCCTGCACGGCAAAGCCTGGCAAGCTCCCCGTGACATATTCGATATGCCAAACACAGTAACAAGTCTCATCATGTTACTGGGCCCGCTCGAGCAAATCAATGAACAACAGGAGGACAGTGACAGTGATGAACTTCATTAGAGCAAAGCTTTTTCAAAAGAGACTAGAAAGAGCAGCTGAATGCTGCTTCTGCCTTCCCCGCCCAGCTTTGTAGGAAAGAATCCTGACTCTTTAGAACAATTTTCTTGTGAGAAAGAATCCTGATTCTCCTAAAGCCATTGTTAAGGGAACTCCCACCCCCTGCCCCGCCTTTGCCTTCATAACTGGTGAGATGATCTTCCTTGAGAAACAGTTGGTGCTTCCAGAGTCACTGAGGCCTGTCTTTTCACTTCTGGCTAAGTTCGCCTGGGAGGGGTCCAATATTATATTTCCAAACTTTCACTTCTGTGCAGCATCTCTGATTTGGGACATAAAAACTTGTTTTATCGAACTTCCTGATAGCCTCTTCAGGGCATGGCCTTCAGGGAAAGTTATGTCATTCTTGGAACCAGATCCAAGAAATGTTACCAGGACTGTATGCTTAAAATTCAGGAAACCTTTAGCTTTACATAATTAGGCACTCAGTGAAGCTATATGTTTGACATTAGCCGTTCGGGGGGGGGGGGGGGGGGGGGGAGGCAGAGGGGTGCACCTAATAATGTAATCATTATGACTTAGGAAACCACTACCACAAAAGTAAATTCTAGTTGACTGGCATACCAACTCTGTACTTATTTCCATTTTCAAATTTACCTATTGCACATGTTGGCAGAAGTATTATAGTTCTATCTTCAGCATTCCACTTATACGTCCAAATCAGTTATATCTTTAAATTTTTCTGTGGAAAATCATGCTGCCTTTTTATCTTGTGAAGAATAATGCCTGCCTTGGGGACTGGAGTGATAGCACAGTGGGTAGGGCATGTTTGCCTTGCATGCGGCTGACCCAGGTTCGATTCCCAGCATCACATGTGGTCCCCTGAGCACTGCCAGGAGTAACCCCTGAGCATCGCCAGGTGTGACCTAAAAAGCAAAAAAAATAAAATAAAATAATGCCTGCCTGTTTGAAAACCATGGCTTGAATTGCTTTTTAAGCTACTGCATTTATGTTTTCATTCAACAGATATTAATATTAATTTTATAGTTATGAAAAGGCTTTTTTTGTTTCTCCCCCCCCCCCCCCCCCACACACACACACACCGCTTTGTTTCTTAAGTATAGAAATCCTTAATTTCTCCTGGGAATGAATTTGTAGCTTATACTTTTTTTTTGTTTTAAATCATACCTACCCAGTGGTGTGCAAGGCTTACAGCTGGCTCTGTGCTCAGGGATCATTCCTGACAGTGCTGGGGGACCATATGTGGTGCTGGATATAAAACCAGTGTTGGTAGGGTGCAAGGCAAGTGCCCTTTGAACTGTACTATTTCTTCAGCCCCAGTTGCATGTTCCTGTTGTCCAAGGATTCTCTGTGTTGGTCTCATTTGCCCTTTTCTTTGTAGTAACATTGCCTGAAGTTCTTAAATCGTATTAGGCAAACCTACTTGTAAGTGAGGCCACTATGAATTTTTTTTCTTATCCTCTAATTTTTTTCTTTCCAAAGAAAGCTGAAATTCTTCTCATATACATTTCTCATGCATTTTTTAATATATATGCTACAAGCTTAACACATATTTAATTTTTTTAAAAGGATGTTTTTATTATTTGGGGTTTCCCTTAGTAGTATCCTTGTAATCTTTCCTACTCTTTCACCTTTTTACATCTACAAGCTCATCAAATGAATGTTAGTAGTTTGTAAAGCCACCGATGAGAATTTATTTTTTATGCCATTAGGAGGAGCTCTAAACCACACTTGTTAAATTACTTGCTTTCCTAACTTTGTAATTCATCCTTAAAATATGCTACACACTAGGGAACTTTACCATCTCCTGTTCGCTTTGTTTTCAGTTTTTTCCCTTTTTATGTCTGAGTATGGAGGAAACTAAAACTGCAGTGTGTGTTCCTGAGTCAGTGTCATTAGCTACATTGAATTACTCTCCAGTACCAATCCAGCTTTGTATTTTCTGTTTTAAGGAAATAGTTACTTGAAAATGGTGAGAAACAGAAGCATGTGCAAGTCTTAGAATTAGAAGGTAATATGATAGAATATCCCCATGATGATTCTCAGTTATACAGGAAAGAAAGAAAACGGAGAATGACCCTAGTTTCAGAAAATGTCACTATCCTTGCTATTTCTAGGTTTGTGCTTACTTTTAAATAAATTAAGCTACAAAAGCTAGAGTCAGGAGTAACCTGTGAGCCCATGAGCACCAACCACTAGGTGTGCCACCCCCCCCCCCCAAAAAAAAAGGAAAGAAATTACTTTCTGATTTTAATTGTTTGGCTTCCAGCAAGTTCGTAGTCATACTGACGTTCATACTAGCCTAATAAATAGTTCCCAGAAATGATACATCTTTTTTTTTGTGGGGTCGTGTGGGGGAGCGTGGGGTCCACACCTGATAGTGCTTGGGTCTTACTCCTGGAGGGGCTCAGGGGATCATATGGGGTGTCAAGGATCAAACTGGTGTTAGCTGTCTGCACAACAAGTACCCTCCCCACTGTACTACCTTACTACCTTCCCTACTCCACATCTTTTTAAAACTTTTTACTTGAGACAAAATCACATACTATAAAATTTACTCCTCAGATGAGTGATTTTCAATATATTCACAAGATTGCATAACCTAACCACTACCTAAATCCGGAACATGTTTATCAACCCAGAAAAGAAACTTCATGCCCTCTAGTAGTTATTCAACAGCCACTGCCTACCCCCTAGCAGCCACTGATCTGCCTTTTTCTTGCTATACATTGAACCCAAATTTGTCTATTTGGATTATTTTATGAATGGAATCACAGCTTTTCAGCCCTTTTGTGCTTAGATTCTTTTACTTAACATTATCAAATTCAACCATGTTATCATGAATCAGTCATTTATTTTTACTTCATTTTTTTCCATTATATGCATATTTCACAGTTTGCTTATTAATATGTGAAAAAACATTTGAACTGTTTTCACTTCTTTTTTCAAATGATTAGGTGCATGCTCTCTCGTTCTCTCTCTCTCATACACACACACACACAAACACACACACACCCCCCTACCCCTGTTTGCTGAGAATCAGTCCCCGTTGGTTGCAGTGCTTGCTCATGTCTCACTAGGAGTCACACTCCTTTAGAGCTATTGCTTGCGTATGGGCTGGAGAGATAGCACAGCAGGTAGGGCGTTTGCCTTGCACACGGCCGACCCGAGTTCGATTCCCAGCATCCCATATGGTCCCCGAGCAGCGCCAGGAGTAACTCCTGAGTGCAGAGCCAGGAGTAACCCCTGTGCATCACCAGGTGTGACCCAAAAAGAAAAAAAAAATCAGAGCCAGCAAAACTGCCGGACAATCAGCAGAGCTACCAAAGTCACACTTCAGCAAGTGCCCTGGAACTTAAGTGAGACTCAGAGCCTTACTCTTAGAAGGTTTGTACTCAGCCACTGAAGTATCCTCCCCAGCCCGCTTTCATTTGGGGCGAGTATGAGTAATGTTGCTAAGAACATTCATATACAAATATTAGTATAGTCAAATGCATTTACGTTTCTTGGTAGTGAAACCACTGGGCCATATGGCAATTCTGTGTTTAACTTTGTAAGGAACTGAGGGTTCTAATTTCTCTTTCTCCCCATGGCTTGTACTGCCTAACTGTTTAGTTGCAGGCATTTCAAATAGTTATGAAATATATGTGAATGTCATTTTGTTTTTATTCTCTAGTGACTGCTCACATTAAGCATCTTTCAGATACTTATTAGCCCACTTAGATATCTTAGTTTTTAAGGATGCATATGATGGTCAGCACTCAAGAAACCCTATAGTGTGGCGATCAAACCTTAGGGCTCTCACATGTAAAACAGGCGCTCCCGCCCTATCACCAGTCCCTGTCTGTCTTCTTTAGAGAAATGTCTCAGTGTCCTTTGCCTGTATTTTAATTGGGGGATGGGGGGGACTGGGTAGGTGGATGGGTTACACCTGGCAGTGCTCAGTTCCTGGCTCTGTTCAGGGGACCAGATATACTACCAGGGATTGAACTAGTTAGTGTCACTTACATGCACCTTATCCCCTGTACTATCTCTCCGGCCCCATGCCTGTTTCTTAATTATATTTTTATTATAAAAATTTACATAAAAAATGGATACAGACCTTTATCGACTAAATGATTTGCAAATATTTAATCTTTGCTGTTTTTATTTTCCACTTTTTGTGTGTGTAGTAGGGAACAAATGCCTCCCTAGCAGTGGCTGAAGGGCCCAGGGCCACACCCAGCAATACTTAGCTTGGCTGTGCTGGTCCCACAGAGCAGTGACCAGACCCTAGCAGTGCTGGGGAGCAAATGGGCCTCCCCAAACCAGGCCTCCTCTCCAGCACCTTGACCTGTATCCTTGGCCTCTTTTTTTTTTCACTTTCTTGATAATGTCCTGTGAAACCCAATAATTTAATATTTATAAAATCCAAATTATATATATTTTGTCGCCTATGCATTAAACCGTCATATCTAAGAGACGATTGCCTATTTCAAGGTCAAGATTAGGAAGATTTATACCTAGGCGCTCTCTCTCTCTCTCTCTCTCTCTCTCTCTCTCTCTCTCT